TTGTCATGATGGAAAACAACGAATCGGCTCAACCTTGGTGGTTCGATCTGTGGTTCCCACTGGTGACCGCATACTGACGAGCAGGCGAAAAACGGACTGATTAATACACCCGATTACGGGTGTGAGTCGACGACTCAGCTGGCAGATCAGTAGACCCAGTGGTCGACCAAACTCTAGTTTAAACTCCGAAGTTGGAGGAGGATTGGGCTAGATCGCAGTTGGTAGCCAGGAATGGGAAGCGGACGGCGACATTAACCCTAATCCTAACCTTAACCCTAACCTAAACTTTAAACGGTAACCGTTAACCCTAACCCTAACCGAAACCGTAAACGTATCCGCAGCCCTTAGACATAGCCGTAAATGAAAAACCTAACCGTAATACTGAAACCTAATCGTACGCTCAAACCCTAACCGTAACCCGAAAACCTAAGCCTAAAGGCATAAACCTAGCCCGAAAATCGGCAAGCATTAACCGGTACCCTAATCCTAACCTCAGACGTAAAACGGAAGCCAAATGGGTCAGATGTGATTATGGAGGCCCACAAAATAGCCCCAGTAAACAAACCCTCCGCCACCTGTCATACGGGTCCTGGCTACCAACTGCGATCTAACCAAGGATTAGATAGCGATCGCGGGGAGGTTAGAAGTAATCCCCCACCTGTGCTCAGCTATCTTCGTCAGTAATACTTGTCGACTATTTTACCAAGAGTTCGTGCCTTCATGCTGTGCCCTTCGAAGATTCTGTGGCAATATCTTATTGTGTAGCTGTACCTGTTAGGGGCTAGGGTTAGGGATTAGGGTTAGGTGTTAGAGGTTAAGGATAGGAGTTGGAGTTAGGGGTCATGGATTGAGGTTAGGGTTAGAGGTTAGGCTGAGGCTTGTCTGCTGCAGGTACGGCTACGAAATAAGATCCGATCGGTTCAGTCACCCAACGTTAATAAGCCCTGAGGGCACCATTTGACGGTTTGAATATGATCAACAGAGCCTGTTTCGACCTGCCCAATCGGCTTTTATTTCTAGCCATCTTTAACCAGACAAAGCTGCCAAGTATGGCATATTGTGTAACCTGTGCATATACTACTGGCTGCCTGTTGATAGTTTGTGAGTATTACGCGGTTATTCCACTATGACTAATGGATCTTGACCCAAATATTCATATCAAATTTTAGCCTGAACCCATAGATCTTAAATGGACTGATTTATTCCAAGTTAGCCATTAAGTTCTGAGGAAATAAAAAATCTGCAATTTAAAAATAACGTATCTACCAGAAACGTGAGAGCAACACCATCTTCTGTCTGATAGGCAGCATGGATTCCGCGGAGGACGATCCTGATTGACCAATTTACTCTACTGTATAAAACGGTGGACCAGAGCGATTGATGAAGGAAACATGGTGCATGTGGCCTACATAGACTTAAAGAAGGCCTTTGATAGTGTGCCAAACCAACGTCTCCTATAAAAGCTCAGCCGCATAGGGGTAAGAGACAAGCTTTTGAAGTGGATCGGAAACTTCTTGATTGGTCGATCTCAGATTGTCCGTCTTAGTGACCAGCAATCGGTGGAGGTGACGGTTGCGAGCGACGTACCTCAGGGCTCCGTTCTTGGCCCTATCGTCTTCTCATTTATACTGATGACTGCATCCGTCGGTTTGACTGCGACAGTGCCATATTTTATGGGACATAACGCTTTGGAATGTCATCCGCCACGAGGACGATGAAGCAAATCTACAGGCAAACTTGAACCGACACTAGCAATGGTCAAGTCGCTGGCTCCTCCCGTTAAATGCTGCCAAATGAAACAATCTGCGCATCGGAGGAATTATCGCATAAATCACACACCGCTAACAGAGATAGAGGTTCAGAAGGATCTAGGCGTTTGGATAACATCCTAACCAAAGCCATCCTTCCACTGTTTGAAAGCAGCGAAATTCGCAATGTCTAGCACATGTATATCTCGTAAAGCGGGCATTTGCGATTCTCGACGAAGAGTCTTCGGGATGTTAGGGGGACCACAGTTGGAATTTGCCATTCAGGCCTGGGGGCCCTGGTCTGTTAAAGACCGTATCACCCTCGAAAAATTCCAACGACCGACAACCAAGCTTGTTAGGGGTCATAAAAACCCACCTTACGAAACTAGACTGTCCAACCTTGATCTCTTTCCTCTGGACTACAGACAGCTTGATTCAAACGTTTCGCATGCTGCGGGATCGGGATTGTTGCCTCAGATCCAGTGACTTTTTGAGCCGGCCACCACTACTATCTTGAGAGGACATCCTCTCATGCTACGTGTGACTAGGGCAATAGTGGATGCAAGGAAATTCTTCTTCACCCACAGAGTGATTAAGGCATGGAATGCTCTGCTGGATACGTCGTCCTGTTCTCATCCGAGGACACATTTAAGTGGAAGATTGACCAGTACAGGAATATGTACCACTACGTCACCAGAAACTGGGAAACTTTTCCCTTGTACCACCTGAACGTTATACGTTACAAAGTGTGCTACTTCCTATATTTAAGTAACATTATCACATAACCTTTTAGTCCACCTGCGAATCAGTGAATCCTCGCTGAAGCATAAGCCTTCATTTCCGTGTTAATTGGGCCATTTCAGGATCTCGAAATGATCACTTCACGATTTCGACACAGTATGCATAAACTGACACATCCATACAAGTACTACATGCTTGTTGTATATGATTAATTACCTACCCTTCTTTCGCACTTTCTCTTAATAAACTGAACTGAAGAAAGCACACAGGGGACGCTGGAGGATCCATTGATAAGCCCAACTTCTCGCAGATGTACCATGCAGAGGCAGAATATCAGCGAAACATGTATACGTGCTTTCGGTTAGTACCTGTGCAACCGCAAAACCTATGCACAGACAAGGCCCTGAATAGGCAAAAGAGCGATCATAGCAGATAACCTCTAAGGCAGTCGGAAAATCCAGGACACAATGACCTATTTTTTCTTTAGAGGGAGGATTTTTCAAAGGGAAATTAAGAAGTACCAGAGAAGGAGAAGACCTGACTACGACTAAGATGTTAGCCCCCCTATTGTCCTGCGCATTTCAACATAAAATACTGCGGATGTTCCCCAAAAGTGATTTCCAGCCCTTTTCCATACTACTACTAACGGGCATTCTTTACCTCATATTTTGACAGTGGGTTTGAAGATGGGTTCCTCTCAAGGCAAGTCAACAAATGCTACCATTGAAAGAACGTTCACTGACCAGGTATGTCGACAAAGTGTTGGGCTTAAAAGGACTCAACTGCCAAAGAATCCGGATTTGGATCCCAGGGCTCGAATATTATTTTGTAGCCATGCCTGCAGTAGACAAGCCCCAGCCTAACCCCAACCCCTAGTTGGTACGACTGCGAAAAAAGGTTTTGTCCCATGTTATCAAAGCCTGAGGTCGGATATCACTGGCTGACGACGTCTAATGAGCCAGTAATGGCCATTTCAATCTCCCTTGTGTTTGAAAGTGTTGGGAGTGCCTACACTCCCAAAAACAAGAGCCAGCCAATCACGGGAGGCCACGTGCGTTTTCTCTACTGCGCTGTCATCTTAATTGTGGCGCCTCTCTATTGGCTTTTCCTCACGGGCCTGATCGATCTGCGTATTCGAATTATCGACCGGCTCGTCTGGAATGTTCTTCCCGAAGGGCATTGGGCCGAATGCCGGCGAAGCACAGTAGGGCGTTATAAATATGCGTTGCTTCCAGTTAATTTTGACTTGCAAGTTCCTAATACACATTTTCGTGGCCGGTTGCGTTCTCCTTCTCTGCCGCGTTGGTATTGAGGACAAGGGTCGAGTGCGTATACGCTCCACGGGATTTCCCGTACCGGGCCGAATCATAACAGAAAGCAATCTTTTTCTGCATCTATAACTGGTCGTTGTGCGACCACCTGTGGTGGGCCTCAAGTCGCTGCTGGACGAACAGGTCCCGTGAGCCGATCGAGAGCGCACTTCCAGCATGATGAATATTTTCGATCGCAACCGACGGTACAACGGACCCATGGTTCAACAGTAGGGCGCTGGACTTGATAACATGGGACGACAAACAGATCAAACTGCAGGACAGTTCGGGTTCGCACGCCAGGCATGTGGCCTCCCCATTCTGCGGTGTTTTTCAAGCCCATTTTCCGAGTGAAAGTCCACCCACTCCGCGATATCTTTTAGAAAGAAAAAGGCACATTTAAAGGCAGAACATTCGCTTATAGCGAGATTTTCTTCATAACACAGAACACTGCTACTCAACAACATGGTTGCACGTTCCCCCGAAGCATGGCCGAAGTGGCTGTCGCCCGACACCCTTCCAAACAAGTGCAGTTAAAGGAACACTGGGTTCGCTAAATCCCCGAAAATTCGAGATTTGCACAGCATGCGAGATTCGGCGGGGAATGAAGTGCCGGCGGTTAAACATAACCGCGACGTATTGCCGGCAAAGAAAGTTAGATTTGAGCGGTACTTTATGATTCATTTACCGTTCACGATCAGTCACGAGCAAAGGGCGGACGGAAAGCCTATACTCCGTTCTGTAATTATACCAGGTCGGCCGAACGCAACTATTTGATGCATAATAATGTCTACTTAAGTAACTTAAGTAGGAATTTAACGTAACAAATACCAGTGAAAATGCCTTGCCGTTTTTTTCGCTCCACCTGAGTGCGAGCCTGTGAACAAACGCCAAACGGGGGCTCAGATGACTGGACTGCCTTCCGGCTCAAACCAAAAACAAGAAAACTATAGTATGCAGACAATTAGAGGTATTCGGTCCCAAAAGCCAGTGAAAAGTCACCCTAGCATTATGTGAGAAACCTCGTGTAAGAGTTAAACCGCGATCACAGCGACCTCAGTGGCCAAGAATCAAGATGAGCGCAAAAATCTGTCCTGTTGATAAAACAAAAGTATTTACACGCCACAGCATGAGTCCAGTGCATAAGTACATATGTACACACACGTGGGTAGGAGGGGAGGAAAGGGCTAGACCACCATCATCATCGCCTGTATAATTTGAAGAGGGGGTGACGCTCCTTCATCGGCTTCTCACGCCGCGCAGAAGAGTCGATGTAGATGGCATCGTCAGCACCGGAGAGGGAAGCCATGTGACCGGCACGACGGGCAAATTGTCCCCCAGCGGGCTGACGTCGGGACCCCGAGGACACTGAATCCGGATCTCCGGGCAGACGTTCCTCCATGGCGTCCTCGTCGGTGCTGGATAGAACGCGATGCAGCAGTTCGGCTTGCTCCTGCTTTGTGACCAGTTTAAGGGGCTCATTCTCCATCCCGGCCAGTCGCGTGATAACCTACCACGTAGACAGAAAGGTGCGGTAAGTGCACCGTGGGAACCAGGTCAAACATAACCCCAGTAACCAAAATATAGTAGACGTACACGAATACGCACCGGTAGTAACCGACGATGGATATCTTCTTCGGGCTGGACAATCGACTGGTGCATGAGGGAATTAGGCTGACACTGGATGATCCACCCCACGGCACATCAGCGAATTCCTCACTAAAATAATTCTGACGTGCTTGAATCTATCTTGGCTTGAAAGGTTGCTAACTAACGGAATAACTTGGTTCTTTTCAGAACTGACAGTATGCCTGCAATGGCTCCTTCACAATGTGGACTCGATGGCACGGTCACCGATGGAGGGGCCAAGCCGCCCTTGTTGTGCGTCGCAGTCACCTGGACGCGAGGTTGTAGGGGATGCTCCCCACTGGTCTGTTTCATCGACACACAGAGCGAACGCAGGTTTAGATCTTCTGCCTGATTTGCTAGTTGAAACGGCGGAGATTCCGCCACCTTGCGAAGTGCGGATCCCCTTGCCCGCAAAGCAGCCTGATAGGAGGACCAGCAAAATGCGTGCAGACGGTCTTTTCACGGCAGTGGATTTCGCTGGAGTGCTGACGGTGATTAGGATGCCAGTGCCTCCATCTGTAAGCCCTACCTTGGCTGAAGCACCGCTGGGCCTATAAGTGTTCATTCGGGGAGGTCGTTGGGAAAGTTGGGGAAAAGCCCCTTAGTCCGGAGCATGATCGTCAACAGTGGCTACATATTAGGAAGCCAGTCCATCTTCTTCGTTCAGGCTGGTGGTGGGTGGATAGTTGCTTTCTTTCGGAGTTTGAGCTTGTTAAGGCGGCGGGACTTTTCAAAGTGTATGGCCTCCGGTTGACGTGCCTGGAGGAGGTGGGAGACTCCAAAAGAAAAGAATTCCTCAGGGCTGTCCCAACGGTCGACTGAGCCTAAAGATCCCGCCGGACAAGGCTGCTTGCCGTTAGGTTGAGGAGAGGGCCGTTTACACGATTATTTATTTGTGACCTATGATGGGCGCCAAGACTGGCTGGAAGGACAGCGTTGCCTTGTACAACATCAATCCCACTGTCCTCTCGGATCGCATCTTGCTCCCGTGGCAAGACCAGATCAAGACACCCGGAGATTAGAGTGGTTTTGTTAAAGTACTGCCTGCAAATAGACTCAGTCAAGACGAATACTCGGGGGAGGCGTCCATGCGCCCCCGGCTGAACACATCTTTCTATTGCATCCTGTCATCGGGGCCGCATGAAGAGGAACTATCGTAACCTGGCCCACCTATAAAAGATTGTGAAGCCTCTAAATTAGAAACCTTCTAAGCTACAACTTCTAAGTCGCTGTGAATGTTTGTAGTCGATAGTCACCATGAACATGCACTGGATTATATCGAGGAAAGCCGTCTAGTTCCCCCAACAGGAAGATTGACGCAGAACGAGAAATGGCAGCGGTTGCGTGTCACAGTATATAGTTGGTCACCCTACATACCCAAACTTACACCATAAGCACGGAATAGGATTTCTAGAAGAATTACTAGCGCCGGTGTCGACCTAACCCTGTCAGTTCGCCTCTCAAAAATGACAATGTACACCGTATAGCATAGAGGGCACAGTGTGGTGACACGCGATCGAATTAGTTTGTGGTGATAGTGGACTTGCACTGCATCTACTGCACTCCCCCATCCCTCACCCACATGGGTCCGGTCCAGTGGTCAGCCAAGGAAAAGAGGGACAACAAAGTACTATTTACCTCGGCATCAGGACGATCACAACCTCACAAGAGGAAAGGCTTGCTCGGTAATCTGTCAATGGGCTATCCACGGCATCCACCGGTAGCAGAAAGTAAACTGCACTTCAACGAAGGCTAGGTACGAAACAAGTTGGCTCACGAATCTGACTATGCAATGGCTGTACTTTCATGCGTGCCCTGTTGCTAAGCTGGTAAGTCGGCAACCAATAAAAACTTCACTCGTCGTAGAAGTAATTACGTCAAAGTAAATCTCACTCCTGAATTGAATAACTACAGCGAACCATCCTACGCGGCGGCTGGCCTAAGAGTCATGGCTTAACCGGACATTTGTGTGGACTTATTGAGTCCCTACGACGCAGAGAGAAGCAATTTTTTGCCACTCAATAGCAAAAGTAGTCCAGGCTTGACTTACGCGTCGAAAAGGGTGGTTACTCGGGAAAAAACAGCAAGTAGAGGGAAAGTGGAGAGCTCACCTTGTACGCATAACCCTGATTAACAAGAAAGCGCTGACGCTTGAGTGCGTACTGCATCTCCATGGTGTCTTGTGAGACAAGCGAATAGAAGAAGGCATTATAGGCTTCGGCATCCATTCCACGCTTGGCACGCAGGATTCGGCCCAGTCGCTGGGCCTCCTGGCGTCGACTGCCGCCGTGCATGCTGATCTGGATCAAAACGGTAGCCTCAGGCAGATCGAACGAATTGTCGGCGACTTTGGACACAAAAATCGCAGGCACCTGTAAGGAGGAGAAAGATAGGGAGGGAAACAACGGCCTGTCTGAAGACGGTTTTGCAGGATGGTGCACGCGGGTGGGAGGTCAGTATGCCGACTAGCAGATTTCTTATCAGAACTGGAGGCTTCAGTAAGCTCATGGCATATATCTCCCTCCATATTTCGGGAGATGTTAACCCCTGAGATTTGGTGTCCAAAACAAGAAACCTATGGTACTTTTGAGATCAAATGCCTGGAGTGGTCGCCCATCAGTGACGTGCTGGTATAGGCTGCAATGATGGTCTCTAACAAATACAGTAATAGATTCACAAGTCGAGGATAATTTTTTTGCAAACAAACCTGACAGACCACAGCCCAGCCAGCCCACAGCCAGGAAATGTGCGTGTTGCTCGACGCAGTCGAATCACCGACGTCCCGACTTCGCACCTACCAACAATGTCAGGAAGGTAAACCCTGCCACATCCGATTCCCTGGGCGAGTTTTCTACCACCAACAGCCTGCCATTATAAAAAGTAGTCACTGGCTCATAGGCATCGTTAAAGAAGTGTGGACAAAGCGAGACTCGAACCCTGGGACTCTAATGAGCAAAACAGACCTTTTGCACTACGCTACGGAACAATCAATATGTGAACTGCAGGGTAAAGAGAAAATGCCTAGACAGACTTCAGCAGAATCACCAGCGGGTAGTGTTTCACCTAAAGATGCAGTTTTTAACTTACCCACCTTATGAAAGTGCAATATGCTAGCTCGGTACTATGGCGTAGACGTTAAAAACCACCGCTCAATGGAGCATTCAAATTTTGTGTAATACAAAACGAAACAACATAAACTACTTTAATGATGGAGGCACAGTGCGTGACCGGACTCATGAAGTGTTGGTCGAAATGCTGAAATGCGTTTTAGACTAGGAAGGATTACTTAGGTGGGGTTGTAGTATTGATTATCATGCAGCATAATCTCATAATATTTCAGACTCGTCAATATATGGCTTTTGAAGGCATTTCTTTTTGACCTCCTACAGAAACACACTCGGTACAAAATGACTACTTAAATAGCATTCATTTTTCACATTGATTTTCGACGGTCTTATAAATTTAAATGCATTTTATAGAAAACACGTATAAAATATGCCTTCTTTTACTCGTTTAGTAGAAAATGACATTGTCTTCACAGTCTATACACAAAGAAAGTCTATATGTAGGTTTTGGAAAAGTTTCCCAATTCTCGAATAATCTAGAGCCCGATCACCCGTTGCTTTGGCGTTTAGCGACTTCAGTCTACAAGGTGTATGGTTTCCGCGTAAAGAAAATCATATATTCCTCTAGGAATTTAAGGAGATACCATATGGAGTTCATAAAATTTTGCAATGGATGCGTACATCTCCTGAGGAGCATTGGTAAACGGGCATGTGCGATGCAGTATGTATGGACAATGCACGGTCTTAAAAATGTCATAATTAAGAACTTTTTTAAAACTGAAATATAACCTTTCTTATGGTATAAAATCTAAAGACAATGCGATTGTCTACCAAAAGAGTAAAAAAGCATATTTCTGTGCACGTGTTCTATAAAATATAATTGGATTTATAAGACCATTTAGAATCAGTGTGAAAAATACATGCCATTTAAGTAGTCATTTTTTACCGAGCGTGGTTTCTGCAGGAGGTCGAAAAAAGTGCATTCGGAGGCCGGCATCCTGGCGAGTCTAAAAATACCATGGTATTATGCTGCATGATAGTCAATACAACAGCACCACCTAACTAATGCTTCCTTGTCAAAAACGCATTTCAGGATTTCGGCCAACATTCATGAGATCAGTCACTCACTGTAGGCGCGTTATGTGGACTGCACTTAGAGAATGTAACTAGGCAAGAGGAGGCATGAACTTGTAAGCACTCCTCGAACATCGGTTGAATGAAAGGGGGTGGTCGTGAGAGTTCAAAATCCAACAATGAAAAGTGAAGGGGAAGCCCGGCTAATGAGAGTACGAATGGAAAATAAAGAAATGGCCTATAGCCCGACAGCACTACGTTGTAAGCAGTCAAAATTGAACAGGAACGACGCTGAATTAAAAGCAGGAAGAAAATACGCAGAAGCACTTACTTTAGCATTGTACTGAAAATTCTGCAGAATCTGCATTCGTTCAGTCTGACTTGTGGGACCGTAGAGATATGGCCGGTCCATCTCCTTTGCATAGTATTTGAGGGCGAAGACATTGTCAGAAAAGACAATTATCTTGTCATTACGCTGCTCGTGATAACGAATGAGGTATTGACAGGCGCGGAACTTGTTGGGGTTCATCACTGCAAGCAGTTGCTTCTTCATACTTTTCATCTAGTACGAGAAACATGCGTAAGAGTGCCACAAACGACGGCGACGGTGGGGAGAGGAGGGGAAAGTAGGTGGTTGAGGGGAGGAGGGGGCGGGGGGGGGGAAGGAGGGGGAGGAGGAGGGAGAGGAGGAGGCATACCAAGAATAGTGGGAGTGCTTACTTGCAGGTATTCGCGATAGAATTCAGAGGTCATAGGACACCAGACTTCCGCACATTGAACCTTGGCGATAAAACCGCGTTTTTGAAGCTCTAGCCAGTTGGCTTCATACAGCTTGGGTCCGATTAGAAAATTCAAATCGGTGATTTTGTCATCTTCGCGGACAAGAGTTGCCGTCAGTCCCAACTTGCAGTGTGCTTGAACAAGAGTCAAAACGCGGCGAAACATTTTGGCAGGGATCGTGTGCACCTGTTAGGAAAAAGTCAAAAGAGGCTGATTCAGAACCGAAGGAAGTACACCTATCGAAACTCAGAAACGCCATAGAAAACTACGGGTTATCAGAAACGGGAGGTGTATTTGTGTTCTAACGTTTCAGGTGGCGAATCCGCCTACTCAGCTTTTGAGACTGGAGGTACTGTGTGCAGGTGCCGATGCAGACTGGACAGACAGACAATCCAATCGTCGCATCGACCTCCCCACGTCCTACACAAGTGCGAAACTCAAAAAACTAGGACAATAGGGGTCGTTACTTGCGGCCACTACCAAAGAGAACGGGGATTAGAGTAGCCACAGTAGAATGGGGATCCGTGATACAGTCGCCGTCCGCACTCGCGATCTACGCGTCAGGCAAAAAATATACACGGGAGCAAGGGTTCTTCACCCAGGCATAAGCGACATACCTCGTCCAGAACCATCAATCCCCATTCCTGGCTTTTCATCCACTCCATGAGACGTTCGGCCTCGTAGGAACGTTTCGTAGAGTGAGCAATCATTGAGTAGGTGGAGATGCAGATGCAGGTACTGGCAGTGGGTCGATCTTTGGCATCGCTGGTGAACCGCAAAATCTGACTATCCTCGGCCGTGGACCAAAGCTTGAATTGCGATCGCCACTGCTCGACCGCAACGCCGCTGGTACACAAACAGAGGGTGGGTTTGCGCACGGTGCAGGCTGCTGTTACGCCAACCTGGAATGAAATAGGGGCTGAAGATAGGCTGATAAAATCATGACATTATACATCTTTATCCAACGAATGCATATGCTGCCTTCCACAGAGGAAAATTAATTTAGGATAGGACAGAGAATATCTTGTGAAGAAACCTTCGATGAAGGCTGGTTGCGAAATAAACAGGCTCTCAAATCTGACGGATAATGCAGAGGTCGTACCTCAGGCATGATTAAGCACCGAAACGGCAAATCGGGTATCTATAAAACGGTCACAAAGCAAGGCGCCAATACGAAATATCATGTGTTGCTTGTCACCCAATAATGCTTAACCCTCGACCGTAGGGTTCGGACGAGATTAAGACCTAGGCCTGTACCATATTCACACGAAACTCTACGACCGTGAACTCTGGAGTCAACTAAACCAGTATTGAAGCTAGTCCAAACAGGAGAACAAGGACGATGAACGGGATGTCAAGCAAGTACCATTCGGCTAGGATGACCGATGAGGATTAGAGTTAGCGTCGATGGCGGCACAAAGGAAGAGAAAGCACACATCACAACCAATAGTAAGTCAATCTTGAACAGTCTAGTCGAAATAGGTAGTTTACTCACCAATGTCTTTCCGGCGCCGCAGGGTAGAACTATAACGCCCGAGCGGGCTCTCCCATTGCCGAACATCTTGCGTAGACTTTTCTCTTGGTAGGGTCGCAGAGAGGTGCTTGCTCGCAAATCAATGCTGATATCACGATTTAGCTTGTCCTGTCGGAAGTCGTATTCTGCAAGAAGAGGCACTTCAAGCTCTACACAGCGTCTCTGCAACAACTCGATGTCCTCCTGTTTCACCTCGATGGCTAAGGTGCGTCCAAGGGATTCACTCAGTCCACCACCGTGTTCGTCTTTGTTCTCACCACTACCTGCAGCATTGCGCTCACCAATTACAGCCTCCTCCTCTTCTTTATCCTCCGCGGTAGACTCAATACCGATTGCTCGGAGGTTCAGAGCATCCGCGTCACCGGTTGATCCAACTACGTTTGCGTCACCTTGGCCAGCCATCATCACTCCCTCTGCCTCTATATCATCATCCTCAGCATCGATCGCCGCATACAGTTTGAGTATTTCTGTCATTCCAGAGGAGTCTGCAGCTGCGACCCCGTCCTTGCTGACAGTTGATGAGGAGGTGGCGGACTCCACCCCCAGAGCGATTGGTGTGGAGGAATTATTCTCGAAGGTGTGAAATGCAAACTCCTCTGTTGTCTTCCCGTCATCAGATTCGTTTGGGTTACGGATAAGGCACTGTTTGATTACAGGGTCGCTAGCTAGACGCTTGAGGAAACCTTTGTATGCGCTCTCTACGTAGAAGCGGCCGCCCTTAAGGACCAACTTGGCCTTGCCGTAGGAGAGGGTGCAAGAGCGGATGTAGGCAACAATTCCCGGGGGGAGTTCCGTCTTGCAGAGACGACGAAGGCAACCTACAATCTCATTGGTTCGCAGACCAACGGACACAGCCGCATAGAGAGAGTAGGAAGTTAGCTTGTACTCGTGTATATGCTCGGGTCGGCACACGGGCTCCGCAATGGCAATAAGAAAGTCTTGCGCCTGACTGGCTATCGGACCAAAGGTTTCAAGAAAGATGTGCCCATCTGGACCGACCCAAAGTGGGCGCGTTGGATGATCGGGGCGAAGTTTAAGTACAGAACGCAGGTCCTTGGCCCCAAATTCATCGCGTGGAGTGGGCACTACAGAGGTGTCCTCACCGGCAGCTACGGAGGGGGCAACATTTTCGGGTTTGGTCGTCGAGCCCTGGCGACCTAGGCGAGATAAGACCCGAGCTTCATCTTGTTCATCAATCACATCGTAATCCTCATCCTCCTCATCATCAAAGAACTCGCTCTCTGGAACTGACATAGTGGTGCTGTCATTGCTGGCGTCAGGGTCGCTAAACTCCGACTCAGAAACGTTGGTAATAGAAGGATCATCGACACGAGCTTTTTTAGCAGGTGGACGAGCCTTGCGGGTACTTCGACGATCTCCACGAGCCATATTCTTCTAAAATCATATCAAAGGAAAAGAACAGGAAGCTGGTGGACGCGGATTTAAAAAGGATATTTACTTAAGCCGAAACGAAAAAATGGCATCGAGAAATAACAAGGTGCGGAAACGAAGAAAATTTGAATTTCTGTTAGAGCAAAGTAAGAACATGGCAGACAAATGGAAGGAGAGCAATGCAGTTCACTGCTGTTCCTGCGGATAACACCCTTAAACGCGTTACTAACGCCAGCCCACAAACATGTCGAGAATGAGGTCTAAACCCAGTCCCAACTTCATTGGCAACATAGTTATACTAGGCCCGACTAAACGCTCAAATGAACACAACAAAAGCGGATAAACGCTGCCCCCTTCGACTGAAAGCATTATTGTGGCCAGTGACGTTACAATCGAGCACCTGCTTCGCATGAGCGTTTTTCCAGACTTAAGAAGGTCCGATTACCCATAACACAGATTCAAGACAAGTCAAGAAACTTCGTCACATTGACCTCCGGAGAGAAGACAAGGATAAGTACAACTAGAAGATAAAGCGCAGCTAGGTACTTAGTGGCGTTCTCGGATAGCACTGTAAACGAGAAGTATACATACAATTAGCTTGGTTCGCTCGTCTGTCCGAAAACCGTGAGAAATATGTTTGGGTTATAAGGCAATCTTAGTTACGCTGACTACCTACTACATGCTGTCTCCTGCCGTCTTTAAATCTAACCAGGGTAAAGGAGGAAAAACGAGGCTTTATACGTGCCGATTGAAAGCAGGTCCTGCTTATTGTGAGCATTCGAATTAGGATAATCTTAAGACTATCCGGCCCCGATGGTGAACGTCTAACTCAGCGGCACTCTGCGACTGTTAATGGTAGGCAGACTTTGTTTGGTGTGGTGTCCAAACGTTATGATCTACAGTAAACACAGGCCCGTCTTTAGGCTAGTAATCGATTACGCAGCCCCTCCTTGCCTTGACCCATTGATTCATTCACGTGTAAGTCACCGTCCCTGCGCCCACACTGCCGTAGGGCACATGCATGCTTGCGTGTATACCATCGGTAATAATCGTTACCAAAAAAAGACGAGAACCGTTTCAATTGCTGTTCAGGCCATCGTAATGAGACTTAAATAATCGACTGGTGAAGGCGAGACGGAAGCAGGGAGAAACCAGACTTCGGAATAACAGACACTAAGGCCTGCGAACCTTTACCTAACGCTCGGATATTTGTAGCTGTTCACCAAAGTACCGGTATGCAACCGAAAGACCAAGGGATTGGACAAATTCAGTCTGAAAAACAAAGCACATGAGGAAATTAGAGGGCACTGCGAGAAAATTAGAAAAAGCCATTCGATAACGGTAGCTTTAAATTAATATCCTGGAGAGGCACCGTTGGCAGTATTCGCGACAGCTCAAAATGACTAACTTACCGGCAAATGAGATTGATAGTATCTTTAACTTACTATCCCCGATAGACTTGGCTATACGCGCCCTCGTCTGTTGACCAACTCCACAAACCTGCTTACTTTACGCTTAAAAGCCTTTTGATATATGAAGCGTGCGATCATTTTGGGACCTCATTTACCAAAAAGCATTTTTATGTTTTCTGTTCAATCGCGTCGTTGCCGATAAACGCAATGTGTATATCATTCGCAGGAGGTCACGTATTTTTTCAGCTTTCTGACCACTGCGCAGTATCCTGGCAGCTCCGTCAGTAGGTGTCGTTAATCTGCATCGTATTCGCAAGGCAGACTTTTAGGCCGGGGAATGCCTAAGAAGGTTGCCAGCAACATTTCCTCCCTGCACAGTCCACGCAATTCTCCTACGCGCATAAATGAGAATGCGTTTTTATGATGGGGCCCAAATGCGTATGTCATTCTGATTTTTGTAATAAAAGCCCTCGGAACAGTGATAGCCAGCAAAGTAAGTGAGACTTTTCATGGCTGTTTAATAGTAAACATTTGCTTTCAATGTATTAACGGCGGCCATCGTTTGCCTTGCTAGATGTTTCATTATCTCATTTCACATGCCTTACAAAATGAAGGGTGAAGACCTGCAAAGCCCACAGAATTCATGAAAGAGTACAAAGCAAATGTTATCACTCGATCGGAAGTATTAAGATGCCACTCCAAATCATTTTATATCATATACGATTATAGCATTAGAACTACGACATTCTATCAGCATCGCCGACGGCAGATTAACTAACCAACAAATATTCGTCAGAGATCCTTGAGTGAGAATTCATTTAAATAAGCGTAGGTGTACGCACATATTTAGTTTTGCATGCTGCTCCTTCTTACAGTGCCTCTTTCCAAATTCCTTCCTTATTTTTTTCATGCAGAACTCAAGTGTGCTTATTCGATTTTTGTGTAGAGGAACACAAACATTTAAGTTCTAAAACTATCCCGTACCAAGCTAGCCAGTGGGTGCGACTGCATTAACTCTCTCGGAATCTCAACGCACCTGCAACAGACTGGGAAAATCTGGCAGCTGGCGGTGCGCTGGTTTCCTTCGGCTGTAAGCTAATGGACTTCCTACTCGACCTCCCTCCGGCACAAAGCATAAAGGTACCAGAGAGCTAATTGCTTGCACCTAGAATCTATATAAGACTTCTCTTACATTATGAAATGTATTCCAGTGAACTTCTCGGTAAGAATAACCATACTACGCTACTATTTCATTTCTTGCTCTTCTCTCAACGCCAGCAGCAAAATATGAGGAAAGCAAATTTTAACATGATTAAGAACGGATCCGTGCCCGTGATTTGGGACTGTTTGCTCACTGGGGATCCCGAGGACGACTAGAGATCGTTCAAGACGATTTCACCCATGTTGTCCAGCGATTATTCGCCTTGTCAGCTTAACAAGAAACATTAACTGGCAGGTAATAAAGAAAAATAAAAAATGGGGTATTCAGGGCAAGTGGGTCATCAAAACACCTTGAGGGATTCCATCATCAACGAAACATGGACAAAAGTGGATCTGCCAGGCAAGGAAGGACATGGAATCCAAAATTATCTGGCAGGCTTTACATAAACCCAAGATTTTATTTCACGGTATTAACAGTCGGCTAAAAAATAAGAACCCAGTCGTAGTACAGAAGGATGATAATGGCGTGGAAATCGTTGAAAGCGACGAGAAAGTCGACATTTGGGACAGTCCTGTGCGTAAGTATTCCTAGGGAAACGGAGTTTCAGAATCACAATATTGACGGTGCTGTTGTAAACGCCGGCCCCATCCTTAAATCTGCACTCCTACTGGCATTTGTCATCAAAAAGAGAGCTGTTGAATCTCAAAGAAGAAAAGTCTTCGGGCCAGGGCAATATACAGGCTGTGTTCTTGAGAAAATTGGCAAAATGACTTTCCAAATCACTACCGAATATCTTCCGCCAGTCATTCGAATTAGGTGGACTGTCATCCGAATGGAAGACGGCAAATACCTGCCCAATATACAAGAGTGTAGCTCGAGCTAGTGTCAACAATTGTCGGCCAGTCCAGATAACCTGCATTTGCTGTAGAATGGTGGAAACCAAACTTAAGAAGACGAAAATTAAATTCCTCGTGGAGAACCACTTATTCTCAGGTCTCCAGCACGGTTTCAGATAGAGCCGCTCTTTTTTTCCGGCTTATTGCTCTCACCCGAACAGTGGAATTGTGCACTGGACGGTGATATAGCGATTTACGTCGTGTACATGGATTTTAAAAAGCCGTTTGACAAAGTCCCACACAAACGCTTATTTATTGCATGTCTGAAATTGGATTAAGAGGAAAGTTGCGTACAGAAATGACAGATTTTCTCACGGGTATATATCAAACCATGTGAATCGATGACTCGAATTAAACTCCTCCCCTCGTTCTAAATGGTATACCCCAGGACTCAGTCTTAGGGCCGTTGTTCCTCCTAGTTCAAATCATCGAGTCTGTTTACGACCTGTTTCGCAGGGCCGTCATGGTTGCTGAAGATGTTATACTGTAGAGAGTCATAAGATCTGATGCAGACAGGCACGCACTTCAAGAGATTCTCAGGCAGCCCAGAAGCTGGTCTGTCCGTTGGATCTTACATTTTAACGTTAATGAGTGTATAGTCCTGAGACTCTGCGCCCGAGGGACCAGTGAGGAGGGTGGTTACTTCGGATATCTCCTTGATGGACAGCCTCTTTCAAATGTTGAGGAACAGAGGGACACCAGTTTTCTGATAACCTCACCTAAACCACCATTACGGTGTCCAAAGACAGATAAACGCGCGACACAGGTGTTATTTGCTCTGAGACGAGGATTTGTGCAGACTGATAAGGAACTGTTCGGAAAAACCTACGGGAATTCCTACGGTCTCACTCGGATTATGTCGTCCAGACCTGCGTTCGTGGTTTAAGAAGGATTATCAACAAGTGAGAAGAGTTTAAGCGAGGACTATGAACATAGGAAAGAATCTTAATCATCTGCCTTACGAAGCCAGACTGAATGAACTTAATTTGTTTCCCCTCAATTACAGGCGACTGCGCATTAACTTCATTCAAACCTACCAGATTGCCAGGGGTCGCGAGTTTACCGAGAGTTTGATGAAGTCTTTGAATTGGCTGGGACAGACTGTCTGTATGGCAATTCCCTTGAACTGCAGAGGAAGTCGGTCCACACGGGCGGCCGACGAAACGCCTTTTCGAAGAGGGTCGTTGGGAGATGGAACAAACTCCCTTGTACGTCGGTTCTTTAAGAAGCGATGACATTTTTAAATGCAAACTAGGTACTCATTTGCTGAGAAACTACTATACGTACAATTAAGATTGTGCAAGTGGTGGTGGTTTGAGCCTGGCTCAGACATACTCTTGACAGTGAAGCTTCCAGAATAGTTGGTGTCAAAATCGTCTCTATCACTATTTTCAGGTATTAAAGATCTAAAGTACTATTCCCTTAATAAAGTGGCTTAAGGACCGATATGTTATTTGGAGTTGGCCCGTCATGGACTTCTCCAACCATATCTTTGTTTGTCTCAATCACGCATCCGGATACAACATG